TATATATATATATATATATATATATATATATATATATATAGAGAGAGAGAGAGAGAGAGAGAGAGAGAGAGAGAGAGAGAGAGTGTGTGTGCTTGGTGTTCATTTCTGAAACAGTAATTTACCTGAAGCTAAAAACAAGATGACAGAAAAATCCATTGCTGACCTCTAGCACCACCAAGCCACTGGTTTCAGGGGTTTGAAGCTTTTTAGATGCTTTGCTGAAAAGGAAGAAAAGGCGGCTCTCCACAATTCATCTTACAGAAATGTTTTACAAAGATGCTGGAAGCCAGGCAAGAGGGGTACAGCTCAGTGGTAGAGCTTCGCATGCACAAGGCCCTGGGTTCTATCTCTCTAGCACTACAAGTTTCTAGAAAGGAGCTTTTAAAGTTGATTTCATGAAGTCACTTAACCTCCAAAGATCCTGTCAGCAGATACCCTAATGTACAATCTTAAATGGAGGACAGAGAGGATATATGGGGTCGCATAACTGATAAGGGGCTGCAAAATACTTGGCAACAAGGTTTCTGAATGTGCAACAACCAAAACCTAATTTAAAATTAAACGTGTAATAAATGAGGCATTTCTGGAAATGTTCGTATGTGTTAACAACACACAACTTCAACTTCACTGCAGCTTTAGTTCTGAACACGTGCACATTGTGATGTGTGCACCATCACCTCATTGTGTCACACACCACCAATGAGCATTGCTTGAAACACCTAGGCTCAGCTACAAGACTATGGTGTTTTAATTGCTGCTCTTATAGAAATCTAACAGCTTAATTATGGAAAACAAAGACCTAGTATTTTCTTACTATCTCAGTATGTATCAAATCATTTTCTTTTAGATATTGTTTTCAATGAACGATTTTTTTAAATTGCTGATTTGAGTTGTTGACTCGTTTGTTTTTTTTAATATTTTATTTATTTTATGTGTATGTGTGTACTGCCTGCATGTATGTGAGTGCACCCATGTCATGCAATGCTGCAGAAGTCAGAAGAGGGCTTCAGATTCCCCTGAAACTGGAGTTAAGGATGATTCATAGCTGCCATGTGGGTGCTGGGAATCAAGTGGGTGCTGGGAATCGAACCTGAGTCCTCTGCAAGAGCAGTCAGTGCTCTTAACCGCTGAGCCATCTCTCCAGCCCCAACTCAAATTTATTTTAAAAAATTGTCAAAGTTTGGCTTGGGAGTGGGAAAGAATTTTCAACAATTTCTGAAATGGCCCTAAACATACTTCTACCATTTTCTGAAATATATTTATGCAAAGCAACATTGTTAGCATCGATGATTACAAAAATCAAAATATTAATCTACTCTGAAAAACAATGAAGACGTTCTTTGTTCTGCAGTATCAAATATTCAGCCAGGAAACAATTTTTTATGTAAAAAGACATATCCCTCTCATTAGTATACAAACCTGCTTTTATCTTTAGTAAATGGTAAAATTATATATACACTAAAGAAATATTTTAATAAATTTCTTTGTGATTTATTACTAGTAAATAATTTGTGAATGATTATTTTATATACCTATACATCTAGGTTTGTAAAAAAATTTCTTGGGCAAAAAGAGTCTGTGAATAGAAAAACATTAAAAAGCCCCGCTCTAAAGCATACACAAGGGGGAAATATTAAGAGTTAACTGAGAAGTAGGAGAATATTTGCCTACATTATTTTATTACAAAGAGGTGCTTCCAATCACTCATGTTTAGCTTTAGAACTATATTCAAGTTGTGTGTGTGTGTGTGTGTGTGTGAGAGAGAGAGAGAGAGAGACTGGGAAAGAACCATGCAGGGAAACTTATTTTAAACAAAAGCTACCATACGTTTATTAAGACACTACTATTAATTGCATGGCTGGCCCCCCACAAATCATTATCCATGTATTATCACATACACAAGAGTTTCCAGAAAGACATACTGACATGAGCTCCACCGGATCTGAAAAAGAAAAGAAAAGGTTATGTATCTGATTTATAACTTCTGGTCACCACAATAAGCAATGTGGACTGGCATTATAATTTTGAGAGGAGGATGGCTGGACTGTTTTCTCCTCCAGTTTACAGTATTACTCAGAATCTTTCTATCTTTAAAATCCTTTCCCAGGGCTGAAGAGATGGCTCAGCGGTTAAGAGTACTAACTGCTCTTGCAGAGGACCTGGGTTCAATTCCCAGGACCCACATGGTGGTTACGAACCACCCTTAACTCCAGTTCCAGGGGAATCCGAAGCCCTTTTCTGACCTCCGTGGCATTGCACAACATGGGTGCATTCACATACATGCAGCCAATACACTCATACACATAAAATAAAAATAATAAACAAATTTTAAAAAAACACAAAAACCCAGTAACGATTGGAATGATTTTTAAGTGGTCTTGTAATAACAATCAGATGATGTCTTATTCTAGGCCATGATTAAATGTATTTATTTTTATTTTTAAATAAAGTTATAAAGTGATAATACAAAAAAAAAAAAAAAAATTCCTTTCCCCTAGGCCATACATGGTGGTGCCAACCTTTAATCTAAGCACTGGGGAGGAGAGTCAGGTAGATCTCTGATGTGGAGGCCAGCCTGATCTACATGTGGAATCCCAGGCCAGCTGGGGCTAAAGGGAGACCCTGTCTTAAAAACTAAAAAACAACAACAAAAAAAATCCTTTCCCCTTACTAAATCAATCCATCCATCCATCCATTCTCTTAGAATCTCCTCTTTAACCTTCATGAATCTGAGAAGACCTAAGAGTCAGCTGAGGTGAACAGACTAAAGCTCTGCCTCAGGACCACCACTCCAATAGGTTCAAGATATACCCATACAGGAAGCATTCCCCGTTTTAAATGCTGGCCACTAAAAACTATTACCCAGTCATTCCTGAACTCTTGAAACAGGGAAAGCCATTTAATAATCTCCCAAGAAACATATACTCAGTCAGAGGGTTTAAGCTCACACGAGCTATAGCTCTAACTGTAGATTCCTATCACTCTGTTAAGCCTATTCTCTTCTGTAGATTAAATATGTTCAGTAATTACAGATTTGATGACAATTACTGAATGTAATATTAGATACCTAACCTCGGAAAAAGAGGCAGACTTGTGATCCAGGATTAGAAACTCCCAAGGAAGGCTCACGTCCCGCTGGGCAGCTCCTGATCTATTTCCACCCCACTCCCCTAAACTGAGGGTGTAGCTGACCTAGAGGCAGAGAAACAAAGCCAAGTCAGTGTGGCTCCTCTGCCAAATAACATCAATGGTGTGACCCTAAAACCAACACCAATTATTTTAAAAAGTAATTTTCTTACTTCAATGTCTTTAGAAGTCTGAGTAATGGTGCAACCTGAAAAAGCAAAGAAAAACTTTGTTAAGAGTCAATCTGATCATGGAACGGCACTGAGACAGATGGTAGGGCAGGGTAAGGGATTGATGGTCAGTCATTCTCAGCAAACAGATCCATTCAGAATTATCCAACTATGACTCATTTTGCCTTCAAAGTAAGCATCAGTTTAATCCAGTTTGCTCTATTCTCTCTTCAAAAGCTATTTACCTTCCTTCCTCCTTTTCTTCAGCCTGTGGGTCCTCCCTAAAGCATTCAAGCATAAACTTAGGGTTCTACGTAGCACCACAACCCACCCAAGGAAAAGGGACTGTGATTTAAGTTATAGGTTTCTAAATGAAAGCTCTAGTTCTCTCTGAAGGTACACTGTGCAACCTGTATCTTCAGCAATGACACAATTAGATTTTGTTTAGGCCTGTTTCATAGGCAAGTATGTTGGGTAAGAAAAAGAAACCTGGACAGAGATCATAACTTTCGGATATATTTGTGGGTAGCATCCTTATTTATAGCTACAGCTGCAAGGAAAGAAGCATCTACTTTTTTAAAATCACTTAAATCCAGTGGAGTAAATAGTGACTTATCAAATCAGCAAATGTTAATCTCAACATAAACCAAGAAGGTGGCATTATTATTAAGTGGCTACTTTTCTTTGACATTCTAAAATTACAGCTTACTAGGGAAAAATTATTATACAAATTACACATATACATAAACATATTTTTATAAGTTTCATGTTTCCTCACATTAACTTTTCTGCTACTGACATGTTTATGGGAGAAAATGCAGTTAAGATAATGAGGATGAGTCAGGCTGAGCATGGCACAACTGAAGACTTCATAGACTGCACACCCGTTCAACTGGGAATGCATGCTACCCACTCCACATTTTCAAAAGCGTATTAGGCATCTGACTGTTAAACATAAGACCTACCTATACATCAGGGCCTTGCCTTTCTCATTCCCCAAGGCAAAGTAGCCTCCTCTGGGAGAAAAATCCATGGTTTGAACACGAGAAATAGAACTCTTCTTAATGACTGGAAAGTTAGAAAACACTGTACAGGAAGGAAGGTGAACCTGCAGATCATAAAAAAGCCTGAATTACAAAAATGGGAACTCACTTTTCTTTAAAATTTTAATTTTCATTCCATCCTTTTGCTGGAACATGTAGTTCATTTGATTATAGCATACATGTAAGTAATGTTCTATGAATAAAGCCAAATGGTCCATAATTAAAATTTTACCATTAATGTGCTATCAACTGAGGAGAAAGGGAAGAAGAATTCATTAATGTAGCATCTGTTCTGGTACCTGGAGATCTCCTCAGTTTTAATATGGGGAAGGTCATTTGTGGATGAAACTGCTGGGACAAGGAAGCAGCTACCACAAGCAGTGATGGCAGCATTCTCACATTACCTTCATGTTCAAATTCACAGTTGTCATCTAGTTATTCATCATCACAATTTGGCATCTTCTATATTTTAGATACAACTCTGTATCCTCCAATCAAGGTGATTTTCACATACAGGTAATGGGTAAAACCCGCTGACATATATTAAGCAGGTTTCAGTCACTTATCAGACCTAACTAACACTATCTGATACATACAGATCTACCGATCATTTTGCCAAGAAAAGTCTTTTTCAGTGAATCTCTAAGCCATACTATTCTTTGCCAAAAAGCAGGTTCTGTCTACACAGATAGACACAATGCTAAAGCAAGAGTGCTGGAGAGAAGTGGTCTTGACCTATTAGAGCTGAGAAGGTAACCAGACATGGTAGTGTATGTCTGTAATACCAGCACTCAGCAGGTAGGGTAGGAGTTTCAAGATAGCCTGATGCTACATGGTAACACTGTGTCAAAAAACAAACAAAAAACACCTGAAGTGGCAGTTTCACAATTTACTCTTAGCTCTTAAAGCACCAGTTCCCAAGAAATTAGTTTGAAAAGCATATTAAAATTTTCTTTAAAAAGAAATACTTAAAGCAGAGTTTTGAAGCAAAACACACACTTTGAAAATACAGAAAATGATGACTTTTGGTAAGTGGTTTGGCTTAATTATGCTTTGCATATGTTGTTAAAGTCTGTGTCTTCCAAGCATGAAGAGGTGATCCACAGCATCAGGACATAGGACATGAAGAAGAGTTACGCCCTGTGTGCTCAGAACAAAGTGATCCTTCACCTGACTTTTCTTCTACCGTGTCACTTTTTATGCCTCAGATACCCACTATTAACTTTCCTGGCACGATTTACAAGTTTTGATTCTTTCAAATCAAAATACATCAGAACCAACCTTTCCATGTTAATGCCTTTTAAATATAACTTAAAACTACCCCTTTAATTTTCAACCTAAAAGGAAGACAGTCTCCTAAACTGGATTCACATGACTTTATAATTTAAACAACTGCTTTTTACAAATAAGGGCAAAACTTAGGAGTACAACATACCGTGTTTTTAAAAGTCTATTTCTGCTAAAAAAAAAAAAAAAAAATCTAAGTATTTTTGTTGCTAAATAATCAGTAAAAAAAAGTACCAGAAACACTGTACATTTATACATTTATAAAGTCTTTGAGGGGCTGGAGAGATGGTTCAGCGGTTAAGAGCATTGACTGCTCTTGCAGAGGACCGGGTTCGATTCCCAGAACCCACATGGTGGTTACGAACCACCCTTAACTCCAGTTCCAGGGGAACCCGACACCCTCTTCTGACCTCCACAGCATTGCACAACACGGGTGCACTCACATACATGCAGGCAATACACTCATACACATAAAGTAAAAATAGTTAAAAACAAAAATCTTTGATATAGTGTCCCTTCAGACATGGTATCCTCATGCAACAACTCACCAACCATGTATTGGCAAGTATTCACAGGACAAGCTAGTGTGATCCTTCTGACAACCAGAAGTCATCAACAACTCATTTTTATCTACGATATTTGAGTGTGTGTGCATGCACACATTGCATTCAGCTCTCTCCTTCCACTACGTGGGTTCCAGGAATCAAACTGAGGTCCCTCAGACGTGGTAGCAAGAGCCTTTACCCACTGAGCCATTGGACCCAACAACTCATTTTTAATTTGGGTCTACAGACATGGAACACTGAGCGAGGGAGGAGTGTTCAGTGTCCTGAGAGACTCAACAGCATCTAGCTGCAAAACTCTTCAGGGAAATCTTCCCCTTATTGTCTCTTCTTCCAAACCAATAATCTCACCTAGTTAGAACTCTGCTGTGCTCTGACCTCTGTATGGCCCCTATATTAAAAACTGTAATTGAATTATTAATTAACCAAGTATCCCGTAAAAACCCAATTTCACTCGGAATCTCTTTTTCTCTATTGCCACTGGTCCTGTAACACAAATGCAAAATTCAACATGTAAAACCACACATCCTTAATTTACTATGTAAGAAGTCCTACAACTTTCTACTCCATCCAAGATTAAAGACATGACAGCAATTTGACTTCTGGGCCTCCTGCTGCAGCAGTGTTTATATTTACATTCACTGCTTTGTGAATAACAAAACAGTTTAGATCATTATAAGTAACTATATTTAATGATACCAACACTGTTTCACTGAGGCATCCTGAAGTTGCTATGGCTGGCTGTTGGGAGACCTCTGTTATGCAAAAGTTGAAGCCCCTTCACACCGGACAGCTCATGCAGCTCGGGAATGTGCTGCGGGCTCCTTTTCATAGCAAGGTGCTTTCTGGCATCTTTCCTGTCTCTCCCTTTGAAGTGGCCGCCACAAATGCCCTGACATAAACATGGCCTTTGGCTCTGAAAAGATACCATGCCTTCTTGTAATTCTCCTAGCAGACAACTGTCTGGCAGAAGCCCACTTCCACATGTAAATAAGATGTCTCACAAAGCAACTAACAACAAAAGCTTGTACCACTACCCCCATGGTATAAAATATCCTAGCCTTCTTTGGGACACTGGGACATTGGGACATTGGATTTTGGGATTCTGGGTCCCAGAGATTGGGTCCCAGAGAAAATAAAGCTGAAAGCACAGACTAAGCCGAGCCTTGAGTCGTGTGTACCGGCGACCTGATTCCCCCGGAGGGCAGCACCTTCCGTTACCGACCTACTGATATCCCAGCTTCGCGGTCTCTGTGCCTCTTCCCTGTGGGGTTCAGTGGCCAGGAACCCCACAATCCTGAGGAAAGGTACACGGGTGTAATTGGGACGGGATTCCAGCTGGACAATGCTCCAGTAAGCAGAGCAAGCTCCCACCACCAGAGAAGTTACGACAGCCACCAGCTGCAATCACTCCCAGAGACGTGGGACCCAAAGCAGCCGCTGGAGAAGTCTGCGGACCCGCAGGGAGTGAGCGCACACTGCGCCCAGAGAGAGAGCGCAGTCGCCCATAGCTGGCTTCTTTCCATTAGGTATTATGGTTTAAATATAATTTGGCTACTACTGATCAATTTCTTGTGTGATTTTCCCACAATAAAAAAAAAAAAAAAAAGACTCATGATCACTGAAGAAAACTAGAAAGCGCTATCATGCAGCTGGCAGATGTCAACAGGAGATAGAACCCCCAGTTTTCTAAAACAATTTTCTAGCATTAAAATGATAAAAGGTTAATACATACTAGTATACCACCACTCCAATTAGAAGAATAGAGACTTGGGGCACTGAATCTCCAATGAGCCTCCTAGGTAGGAAGCACTTGATGTGCATGGTCACATCTCACTGCTAGAGGCATTACATGTGTCCTTTCCAGGAACCTTGCACTGGGTTGCCTCTAGACTTCACCTGTACACTCTTCCCTTTGCTGATTTTGCTTTGTATCCTACAACTGTAATAAATCTTAGTCATGAATATAAATGCCAAGTCCTGTGTCTTTTCATTAAATCACCAAACTTGGAGGCTGTGACCTAATGCACTCTTGACACAGGTATTCAAAATCTAAGAATTGCCTCCACTCCATTGTAAGTATAGGCCTTAAGAATGAAATATTTGCCTTAAATGTGTTCCTTAATTTGCATGCTCAAAGGACTCTCTGAAAATGAGGCCACCATTTAAGAAATGCTAACGACAGACAGCTCAGAATTCCCAGAAGAACAACACAAACTTGGTGACTACTGTGCACTAATCAACAACCAAACCCAGAAGTTACCACACTAACAATTTCTACAAAAGATTAAAAGGAGTTACTTTGTAAAGTGTTGTTTTGGTTTCTTTGAGACAGGGTCTCTCATGTACACCAGACTTGCTTTAAACTTAGCTAGGAAGAGCTGGAGAGATGGCTCAGTGGTTAAGACCACTGGCTGTTCTTGGGTTTGGTTTCCAGCATCCAAATGGTGGCTAACAACCACAGATTTTTAAATTATCTCAATAAAAAAAGTATAAAAGGAGTTATTACCAGGGCTGCTGGCGAGATGGCTTAGTGGTTAAGAACACTGGCTGTTCCTGCAGAGGACTTGGGTTTGGTTCCCAGCAACCATATGGCAGCTAATAACTGTCCCTAACTCCAATACCAGGGGCTCCAATGCCCTCCTGTGGCCTCCGCAGACATTGCACACACATGGTCCACTTACATACATGCATGTAAAAAATATTCACATATATAAAATAAACTTTTTAAAAAGGACTTATTACCAATCTGACGGCTTCTTTCATTTTTCTTGATGCTATTGCCAAGATTTCTGTAGTGGGATTGAAAGTCAAATAAGTAGCACCAGTAACCAGGTTCATTATAGCTTTTATGGGCTTTGGGTTGGTTTCTTGGAGACACGAATCTTGATTGTATATGTTTACTACTCCACTATTAGAACTGTAAAGAGAAAAGGAAATCCATTTTTTTAAAAAGGCTCCCATAAACTAGATAAACCTAAACTTCAATCCACAAAGTGGTATTTGTGGAAATCATACACTGCACGAGCCCAATGGCTGAAGAGTTCAAGGCAAGACACATTCTATCAGTTCAACTTCAGTCTTGCTGAACACTTAACTCTGGCAGCTTTTCAACTGCAGGCCCCAGGTTATGCATGGCAGTGGCTTTGCCTCTGTGTTGGGCTTAAGCTGGGGACAAGGAAGTTTGATGTCATTTGCAGGCTCTGGTCTTGGGAAGAATGATTCTCTAGAATGGGCTTCCTACCTCCCCTGAGGGCCAGATGTTGTCTCAACTCCATACGTGGTCCTGAGCATCCAGACTTTGATGTTAGACCTCTCCCAATCCCAAGGACCAAGACATTTTCAATTATTTTTCTATTACTCTTCTACAGACCCAGTAGCCTTCACCTACACCCTACAGAAAATGTAAAACACCTAATTGAATTTCTAGAGAAGAGTCACAGTCTGTGGAGTTAAAAAAATAAAAAGTACTGTAATATAACTGATATAATTCTCAAACCAAAATAAGCAACTGAATTTTAGAATGTAAACCAATTCTATATGTCTACTATAATTTTTGAATATTATTTACTGACAAAAGTGTGCTTCCAAGCTTTAACAATGTAAAATTTGTTACTGTTGCTATAATGTGAGTTTACCATCTACTCCCTTTTTCAAATTTTCCAACCTACAAATTTTTTCAATGTCATGTTTTTTTTAAAGAAAGCAATGCTAAT